ATAGTATATACCGTAAGGGTTCTCGATCTGGATAAAAGTTTCTTTAATTTCTTGGAAGCGACGCGCAATCAATCTTTGTACGATACATTGCGGAGCGAGAAAAAATACATCGATTCGTGTCTTGGTTTGATGAGATCTCAACCGTCTCATGAAGAACACAGGCAACGAATGAGAGACATTGAATTGCACAAATTTCGCTCTTCCTTCGAGGGAGAAGCACAGATATTAAGAATCAGACAATAATAAAATAATTGATGCAATAATGATTTATAATAATTTAATTAAAAGCTAAAATGTTTCTTGCGAAAAACCATCTACGCACCATCGCAATCTCACATACACATAATAGAGCATTGCTATTTCAGGATTCAATACGCGTATATCGGTAAAATGCCAACATATCACTGTATATTCACCGGCATAGGTACAAGTCTGCAATTATTTCTAAATACGTAGGAGTATCATTTTTTCCCCAAGTCCCTCTGGAATGTACGGTAATCCTAGCCTGTCATTTGCGATTCGTTCTGTACGAGAAGAATTCCTGTATTTAAATCATCATGTTGTCCTTGTTGTCTGCGAAAACCCGAGTACAGTAACAAACTTTATATGATAAAATTTTCCGATTTTAATTCTAAGACTAACATGGGGTGACGTAATTTTAAGATATATTAACTAACAAGAAAAACATCTCAATTCGGAAATTCAGAAATTTATGCGAATACATACTTGATAAATAATTCGCTATTTTTGATTACTCTCTATATTCATTCTGAGGAAATAAATTTTAATTATTGATATAACTATATTTTAAAATCACTATGTCTTTCAGTAAAAAAAAAAAGAAGTAATTTTCCTCTATAAAATTTTGTATATCTCGTCTTTCGTTTGCGGATAATAAAACGGGAAAATATATAGCTCAGTTTCGGGAATTTATTTTACCATATCAAAGTAAATTCTCTCAAGCAAGAGACAAAGATAGGAAAGATAGGACTGTTAAATGTAATATAATATTAATATATACTATATACTATATATTATTGATTGAATATATATCAATATTATGTCAGATTTAACAGTTATCGACGAATAGCTACTTTTATATATCGAAAAGAGTATAAGAAAGTACTAGAAGAGGAAAATGACATCAACGATGATGACAACTATGACAAAGCAGCAGCAGAAGAAGAAACATAGAAAATCTTGAAAATATGCGTGTTCGCATTATTCACGTGCCGATCAGTGCTCTCATGCTGTTAGACATGCATTTACGATCCTATTTATGTGCCTACTTGTGTACATCGCAGGCAGCACGTATATACGTACGTACGTGCCAAGCACGTAATATATCGCGTGTCCTAATCGAAGTGCTACCCCACGTTCTGTTCACTCCTCTTTTACTCGAGGGTCTCCTAACCCAACAAATAGACCTGCCGTCTGGAAATGGTCCCAGTCTGTTTTCTCTCTCTCTTTTTTTCTCGTATATACACATATTCTGCGCGCGTATATATAAGAGCTGCATCGCATTATTTTTACTGCATTGAGATGCACATTTCTGATACATTCATTTTTAACGATTGATTTTTGAAGGTTCTAATGTAAAAGTAATGCAGCTGCAACCCCGTATGCTCTATATCATTGCATACATATAATGATTATCTTGTTTAAAAAATATATAATATATTCTAAACACAAAATAATACACTTCAATAACTCATAAAAATAGTTGATGTTAGAAAATTTTTATATGTGTTACACTAAAGATAAGAACCCCATGGTTTGTCCCCATAGAATTTAATGTAATATGAAATACACGCGCGTACACACACTTATGTACGCACACATATACGGGGGATGCTTGTCAGACTTCACTTTTACGCGGCGAATCTTGAGTAACGTTGAAGAAATCTGACACTTTGTAATCCAAAAAAGATCTACAATCCATTTCAACATCATATGATATGGTTAAACTTGCCGTGGAACGGAATACCATTTCATGGAGTTCGAAATACCATCTGCTATATAAAAAAAAAAAAAACTATGGATAAATGTATTATGTTAGATAAATGTAATAAGAGAAGCAATGGAGGGATGATAACGTCATATTCAGTGTTTTTCCTTTCTATATTCAAAAACTTTATATATAATTTGCATAATCTTTTCTTAACATCAACTGTTTATGAGTATCAAGATGTGTTATTTTATTTGGGATACTCTGTATAATAATTATATAATTGCAATAGAAAGTAAATTTCTTCCTTCACGCGCGCGCGTGTACTCTCTTTTAATATTATATTATCTTAATAAAACTAATTATATATATTTTTATGGAGAAGATATTTCGTCTCTTAAATAGAAAATTTATATCAGGTCTACCGGAAAGTTCTGTCCGTTTTTGGAATAAAACAAATTACAAGTTTTTATTACCGTCAATAAACTTTATTAAATAATGTAATTGCCATTATTCGGAGAAGTATTGTCAGCAACTGGATAATTTAAATACAGCAGTCCAAGAAAAGAGGCCGGCGATAGATAAATAAACGCACTTTGCACGTTTAGAGCACGTTTACGTGGGTACGGGGCTTACGCGCTTACACACCACCTTTCTTCCTTCGCTCATTTTTCCCCCTCTCGTAACGAGAGGGGCCCAGAGTCTTTTCCACCCTCTGTAGTCGGGTGACTAACACACCCGAGGTGGATGATGGTGCCTTTAACGACGATTGCCTCGTGAGGAGAAAAATGACGCGTACGAGTGTGTGTAAAAGAGTGCGTGGGCGACCCCTGACAAAAAAAAAAAAAAAGAAAAAAACATGCACTTGTACCTCCATATGCCAAATTACACGGCCTCTCGGAAATTCGTTGCGTCGATATGAAATTCTTTTTTCGTTGGATAATAACGGAGCCCGAAACGACACAATGTCACGCTATCTACCCGGAGGGATCTTTATATCCGCTATTTAACAAATTGCCGGAATTATGTGTAAAATATTTTTTACTTAAAAATAATGTATAATACGCGATATTTCTTTTGCAGATTTTTCTTTTCCAAGATTCAAAAGGCTTGTAATGTAAGCAAAAATATATTAGAGACATGTAACGCGTTCAATTTTTATTCCCTTTCATTCGTTCAAGTATCAAGCCGCCAAACACTTTATATATGTATACATATATTAAACGTCATACTTTATTTAAGACAGGGATCGTATTGGACCACGACAGCTGATCAATGATATAATCAATAACGCAATTGAAAATGTAGTGATCGTTATATCTTCAGTCTGCTCGCTTAAAAGTAACGAGAAGGGATCGTCTAATGATGATTTATGCATCGCGTATAATTCGAAAGCCTTGCGGCAAACAGTCTCTCGATCGGCATTCTCGTGTATTCTCATCTCTGTAGACTCCATTCGAAGTTAATATTGACCATACTCCCCAATAGACTCTGGCGCCGCCAGTAGACATTCGACGCGTAATCTACGTAAATTCTATGGAGGCAACGTTCGCAAATATTTGCAACAGCTTCTTCGAGATTTCAGATATACGAGTCATGGGCGAGATTCTCACCTTTTTTAATATGTTACATTTAATTCTATACTCATACAGGGTGAGCCAGAATTCGTGGTACAACCAAGGAGAAGGTGACGCTATGCCCCAAAATAAATCGAAATAATTCGACAACTTTTTTTCGATTGAAGCTCCGTTTTCGAGAAAAATAAATTTGAAAATCTATCGAGTTTGATTGAAATTCGATGAATTCGTTTTTCTTGTTAAACTCATTTTTCTCGAAAACGGAGTTTTAATCGAAAAAAAAGTTATCGAATCTTTTCCATTTAGTTTAAAGTGTAGAATCACTTCCCTCTTGGTTATACCACGAATTTCGGTCCACCCTGTATATACGTATATATAAAACTCGTGATATAAATATGTAAAGCAATATATCTTACAATAAAAGCACTTAAAAGTGGCTCGTGTAGCTGTTCCGGTGCCTAAAGCCTAAAGAAAAAGGATGAGACAGAGAGCCAGGCGCATATAAAGTCAAAAAAGAAAAAAGAAAAATGAGACGATGGGAAGGAGGGAGACGGGAGTGGGGCGAAGGGCGAACGAACAGGCGGAGCGACCGGAAAGTCAATATTGCCCGCGCGATATGAGATACGTCAAAATTATTACCGTATTAAAATTTAACTGATAACTCTGAAAGTGCGTCTGGGTAAACTTACTTCATCGTGCGCGCATGTCGTATATGGGTTTTCAATATTCTATGCGCGTCGCGAAAAAGCGCGAAGCAGAAATTGCGAGAGGATAATATACGGCGGATGTTAACACACGAGATACTTCCAGTCGTTCGAAATTTAAATTCAACGCGCGTTCTCTCCACCGTCAAATAAATAAAATGCAAAACTAATCGAATCGTCTATGCCTGGACTGCAAGCTGAAATATGGTTTACAATTTTTTGAAAAACTGAGCAACTCGAACAAATTTTTGTCCTATAAATCTGAATCTAATAATTCTAAATCATTTAAAAATGCAACGAATAAATTTGGTATATACACATCAAAAAGATATTGTGAATATTTATACATAAGTAGTGAGTTTGATAAATATATGAAGAATGCATGTCGCGCTTGCATTGACAATGTGTTTGAATGTGCTTTAGCAAGATATGTCATATGTATGGAGAACTTCATTCAAACTATTGATGTTCACACAAGAAAGTTCTGAAAATATTACCATCGATTGCAAAACAATACGCATAAAAGTATAAAGTCGAGAGGCTGCCACATAATTCTATTTTATGGGCTTATTTTATGGGCAGCCATTGTTAAATCGATAGATTTTATTTCACTCAAAAACTCTTATAAATATCACTTTACGCGTTCATATAAAAGGAAAATATTTTTACGAAAACAAAAACCTTCATTAAAATTTTCAAATGTGTTAATGTAAAATTTTAAAAGATTCAAAGCAACGCTTAAAAAAAAACAAAGTTAAAAGATAATCTTACCTAAATTCTCTGCACATATTTCTTTAGTGATGAACAAATAATTGACGATAATTGGATTCTATCCGTACAATTAGATTTTAATATCGCTGATTATAATGTTTGCGCGAAAGTTGAGACTCACTGAATCGACGTAAATTCAACGTGAACCATACGAGCGCACGACGACGACTGGAGTCCTGGACTCCCACTGGCTCCGGGCAAACCGGGCACAAGTCGAACTGGCACGAAGTGTGTCGGTGAGCACCGAAGATGGCCGAAGCTTCATTTGAAAAGCCGATTGTATCGCGATCTCGTCAATCTTTTATTTGTAAACTTTACCATATTCAAACTGTCGAATATAAGAGAATATGTTTTAAGTTCTCTCTCTCTTTCTTTTCCTCTCTCTTTTTTTCTTTCTTTTCTCAATATTGTTTCTTTAAAATATTTGCGGCGCATACAAGTCGTTAAAAGAATCATGCTGAAATCATTCAAATTGACATAATTATTAAGATTTTTGTTGTATAAATCAACTATGAATATTAAAATTATATAAAATAAATCGATATAAATATAGATATAAATATAATTTGATTATCTAAAATATTTTCGTAAATAATGATACGTTTCATGCTAATAAAATAAATTCTTAAATAAAATGATTGATTAAAATGCATGATTGATAAACAAAATAATAACGATTAGTTTAAACTTATTTCAATAAAAATTTGTAACGATATGTTCATCAATTTTAAATAAAATATTAAGATAATATTTTCAACTTATTAAATAAATTATTCAGAAGTTTTGTCAAAATGTTTAAGCAAAATAAGACTAAGACCCGCATAAAAATGTGTAGAAATTATCATAGTCAGAAATCCATAGAATCAAATAACCTATCTCTATCGACTTCAAATGCTAATAGCAATGGGTGAGTAAAATATTACTGAATGGATAAAATCGTACAACGCGTTAAAAAAAACTAAAAATATTATGTATAATAAAAGTTTCTGTTAATATTATGATTGACTGCAACTGTCTCTGTCTGCCTCTCTCTCCCTCTTTTTAGCATATTGATATAAAATTTATTTTTGATAAGACAAATGTGTCTATTTACGTGATGTGTTTATTTATAAAAGCAATGTGTTGTGATCGTAAAGATTTCATATATAAATTTAAATAAAAATTATTTTTAATTTCTTTTAGATATTCCACCAGGAAATCAAAATGCTTGTCCCCAATAATTTCATTAGCAACGTCAAACGAAAACTACGAATCAATATCTAAACAATCTACCACGGAAGCGCTCGAGAATGCAGCAGTACATTTTGGAGATTTTTATAGTCTTCGGAATAATAATGTAGGAAAAGCATATTATAATAATCTTATAGAAGAGGAAACAACGACGATTAAGAAAAAACGTAGATCGAATTTCACGAGGCAAATGGTGCACAAGTAAAGAAACCTTTCTCTACGATAAGAATAAAATTGAGAAATTTTCGCGAATTGTTAATTCTGATAACATTTTCGAGCGAATTATTTCCCTTCATCAGATTAGAGCGAACGACTGATATGGAGGATTACGCGCGACAAATATCGGCCTTTTTGAAAGAGACTGTAGAGCCGCCTAATTTTAGATTGAATCCATTTTTATCCGAAAATTCTATTCCCGATGGAAGTCGAAGATTTTCGCGTTATCCATTCTGGTACAAGGAACCTCACAAGAAGCTTATCGTTAATGTTCTCAAATCCGATTGTTCAAATTAATCCACGACTCATGAATCTGGTGTTAATTAGTGAAAAGAGAATAATATATCATAATAAAAATAATAAAAAAAACTCAGCATAAAGCAATACATTATACTAAAGAAAAGATGCTGAACATATATATGTTTCTGATGAAGCATCTATTAAAATGCAATTCTTGTAATTTTGACAAAAATTAAATTATTACGTGAACTTATTAAAGATCGCGTATAATTTATGCTACTGTATATACATATGACTATTCTCGTAATTTTATGCTTTAGAAAAAATGAATCTTTTGTCTGTTATTTATTTTTCTTCAAGAAGTATCTTAGATTGATCTCGAAATTCTTTATACAATTATTAGTAAAGGTTAGTTAGAATCAAAATAAAAGCTAGTATTAAGTAATTAGAAATTCGTTAATAATTTTAAAACCGTGTAATGATCTATTGCATTCTTCTTGTAAGAAACATGGCAATTAACGTTATAGCGGTATACAGATTGAGTATTGTTCAAGTTATATGCATAGCCGCGAGATAGAATTCACTTTATATTCATTCCGGAACACTAATTAGGAGCCACGATCATTAATTCATATGATATGTTATGCCGTAATTAGCTAGTACACTATTACGAGAGAGTACCGCTGCTGGAATAATTAATTAAGTTCAAAAGCAGGTAAAGATACACGTGAAATTAATTAATCTAAGTTCTAAATGACGAATGGCCGACAATTTTTAATGTATCCACAATATTCTGTTCGTATTTGATTCTTTGACTCTCTTGAAATTGTTTTATGTACATCGGATAAAAATAAATTTCTCTCTCTGACATATATAATAATAATAATCACACATATACATATACAGAAACGAGAGAGTTTATAGTTTAAAATTGATAAGGAAGATTAAACAAATAAATTAATGAAATGAGAAAAATTTATGCGGTTTATGGGGTTGAATAACAAAGATTGATGTTTTCAAAAGGCCGATATACGTATTGTTTTCGCTTCGGTGGAAATCTAAAGGGACACGCAATAGGGTGGCACTTATCGATTATTCCGTCCAACAGGGTAAAGACGAATTCCATGTATCTTTAACGATAGCGGAAACAAAATTTCCAAGCAGGGGAATGCCAGCGTCGCGTAAACAGACAAATTTGTCTTATTGAAAGTGAGTTTTATATCAATATGTTAAAACAGTTCGTTTCGGTCAATTAATTCCTAATTGCAATTCTATATGTATAGAAAATGTAGCAATCCTGGTCATTAATCAATCAATCAAAAAATTAATAATTTGAGATCTTTCTCTCATAACTTTGATATTGTAATAAAATATGTATTGAGCCGCCGCTCATTTATTAAAATCGGAATAAATAAGTGTTTTTGAATGTGTAACATTCAAAAACATTTATGTTATACAATAATATAGATTAGTAAAATATGCTGAAAACTCTCTTTTTTGTTTTCCTCTATTAATAAATGCATATATAATTCATTTGGATATATTTTATACTTTCAGTGAAAATGAACTTAATGTCGATTAAATTTATCAATTCACTAATCAAAAAGACAATTTGCGGCGTACTTTATCAATCCATACTAACAAATACGAATAGTCATATTTAAAAAAATATATTCATTTCGATCTATACATACATACATGGCTGGCTCTGGTAATACTTACCCATTTTTTTCATAAAAATCATATTTTAGGATTTATAAAGGGTAGTAATTTTTAACGACTCATTCTGTATTATTCATGTATCAAATCTTGGAAAGCAATTAAAATATGAGAACAAATTGATACACTATACATATATTCAACATAGCATTTTCTAGTTTTTACTCATATTCAAATTCAAATTGTTTCAAGATTTGATGCATATACTGCTTTTAAGATAAATTATTAAACATCCATATATACATAGATTTATTCTTTCTCTCTAAACTATACAGAATGGTCCATAATATGATTGCGACTCGTTTAAAATAAGTTAATGACTATTGTGAGACTATTGAACAATGGAATATAACACGTATAAATATGTGCAAATATATAACGCATACTAGTTATAAATGTATATGATTTCTGTAGATATTATTCAGTATGATGTGACAAGCTAATTACACTTCTGCTATAAACTTCATTCATATACACATTTATCTGTTGATTTAACTCAAGTTTAAGCGACTTTTGTGCATCCTGGAAGATCTATAAATTTCAAATTATTTATTTTTTATATCAATTATATAAACTGCTACTTTTTAATGGTCCCTTAGTATGTACATAGTTAATAATACAATATACAGAATATTGCAAAGTTATCTCGCATTTCCTCTTATTGTTAGATATAAATTAACAAAATTTTGAAATTATACCATTCTAAAAAATATAATCATATTGGAATTATATAACATTAAATGAATAAATAATTATAATATATTAAATCAAAAATATACTAAAATATCAGAAATCACAATATAATTACATATTATACTAAATATCTAATTGTAAGATTCAATGAAAGATGCTGATAGTTGAGCTTTCATAAAATATGTTATTACATAACTGCAGTTCACATTCGAAATATCAGGATGTGTGCAATGTCGCTTAAATCTGTGTTTCATATTTATTTCAGTTATCTTATCCAACTTTCATTAACAAACCTTGATTAATGACAACCAATTTTGAAGATGTTAAAATTGCACCATTGTCGATGATTATAAAGAATATTCCTTATACTATTGTGAATCAGAGAGAGAGAGAGAGAGATTGAAATTGGAAGTACAGCAGAATACATGATATAAATTTTTCACACATAATGCATTCCACTATACTTCGTGTAATAAAGATAATTCGTTCTCGTCTTTGAAACAAGGCGCGATTAGTTTCCATCAGATTGATATTTTCGAGGCCTTCCCTAGGTCTTTTTCCACGAATAATACATTTCCAAGGGTCGATTGACACGCCAGAATTTATCGTTCACTTGCCGTAACGTTTGTGAACCACTTAATACCACAAGTTGTCCCGGTGAAGGAGCAATGTAGATGCAAAAATTTAATAACCTATCTGATTCTGATAATTCAGTATCCAGATCTAATGTCAAACGCATCGCCAAATATTTACTCAAGTGATCAACTGCAAAAACAAGATATCTGTTAGTCTTGGTTAAAAGAAAATGTTTTCCTTGTTTTTATTTATAGTATATTTGACGTATTTATTTCTAATATCTCCTTTTTTGAAGTTTTTCCTTTTAAATTATATAATTTTGCAAAATATTTTACCTGTGGCGTTTGCTGTTGTTTTTATGTACCGGATACTATTTTCTTTCAATGCTTTTATTAGAGAATTATCACCTGCCATTTCTGTAGGGTGTGGTTTAAAAACAAGTTCAATTTCATTGAGCATTAAAGGTTCACTAGGACCTTCGCCTTCTGTATCAACCATAGAATCACCGCCACCAGTCTCTGCCTCAGCACTAGAAGAGTCATTTTCAGAATTTTGAAAGCTTTTCTGTCGTTTTGGTGCTTTCGGGATTTGATTTGCAGGATTTGGTGATGGTGTGGTGGAGTTTCTAGATGTTGTTCCTGGATAAACACATGTAAAAATAACAAATATAGCAAAAATATCTGACAAGTTTACAAATTATAGTCTCACTCAAGAAACTGATGAACTAGTTGCAGATTGAGAAATATTGGTATTTTAAAGATTATTAATCATACCTCCGCTATTTAAAGGTCCTGTTGCGCTCTGAGAAGAATCACTTTGATTTGCAACATTTGTGGATGGATTTGGTGTTGTAGGTGCGCTAACGTTTGGAGTATTGTTGTAAGATGTTGCGTTACTCGCATTTTCAGATTCGTTGGCATTCTTTCTTGAACGTTGAGGACGATTCTGACTTTGTAGCTTAATACCCTCTGTAATAGAATTAACAAGCGCAGCTTGTGAATGTGATTTATTTAATTTAGCCAAAACTCGTTCCTGATGAGCCTCGTATTCATCTCTGCTTGGATAGATTTTTGAAATTAGCAAATCAAAGTTTGGATCTGGTCTAAGAGATCTTTTGGAAACTAATTTCTTTCTACATGTGGGACATTCCTGTGAATATCATAAAAATTGTTATAGAAACAGTACATTAGTTGCACTATATAATACATATATATAATGTTATAACTAATAAAATTCCTGTAATAAATATAATTTTGTTGATGTTCTGTAAAACTAATAATATGCTTTTAGCAGAACCATACAATATATTCTCAGATTTAGACAGGAAATGGACTGACACACATATTGTATATATTACGTGAGATTTGTGGACAAAAATATATAAAATAGAATCTTTCTTGTAGAAAATATATAGCCTTGCTCACAGAATTTTAAATATAAACTTATGTCGAGCATATACCTTGTTACCACTCCGTAAAGCTGTAATAATACAGTCAGAGCAGAAGCGATGCAGGCACTCCTTGGTGGTCATAGTTTTTTTTAACATATCCAAGCAAATGGGACACATAAGCTCGCTGTGCAGACTCCGCGGACTGACCGCAATTTCTGTATTGTCGGTAATCGCATCCTGTGGTGTACGGTGTAACTCGTACAGTGACAATTCCCATGTTTTGTTGAGGCCGACTTGTTCCGCAGATGCCATCTTGATCACAGTCAGAGTGTTAATGGTTAGTGTTCCAGATTCCAGAATCCAGATCCAGAGTCCAGAGTCCGGAGTGTCCAATCGCTCGCACACAAATTCTATCTAGGAAAGCGAGGACGTTTCAGCGCCGCTTCAGTGTCGCCAACTGTAAATTTCAAATTCCCGTATATATATCTTATTATAAAAACTTCAGAAATATATAAGCTAAATAAATAATAAAAATGTCTTTGACCAATAACAATTTATTTTTGTAAAATTGTATAGATGAAATACTAAATAATTAATATAGAAAATTTATTTCAAAAATTTAACAAAGTTCGAATAATTATGTGTAGTTTTTATAATAGCAATCAAAGAAATAGCATATCACAAATATTAACACATTCAAAGTTATGTTAATAGTTCTCATATTATATCTCTTTTGAATATTAACAATGATTGAATATTAATTATATTTCTCTCTCTAATCATTCTGATGGTTTTGATAAATATTTTACATTTTAAATTTACTTATCTTTATTTTACAAGAATTAGCATTATTTAAAAAAATTAGTGTTAAAGATTTACATTTCTAAAACTTTTATTTATGATTATTTTTTTATAACATATATATTTATTGATTCAGATAAGTATTTATAACTCAACATATATTTTAATATATTAATACAACATATAATAATTGTCAAATAATAACTTTGATATATATATTCGTGATATTTCGATACATTGAATTCTATACATACTGTAAGGAATTCTACTATATAATTCTCGTATAAGAAAAATCTGTAAGAGTTTTTTTAAGTTTTGTACAAACTCTCAAAGTTTAGTGAATATTGTTATAAATGAATATGAATGAATAGATATGAATGAATCAAGTATATGTATATATCTCTCTCTATAGAATGCAAGATAAACTATCTAATTGGACTGTACAGAAAGAGACAATGAAATCTGATGTCGCTATTTCTCTCGGATTGAATTTGGTGCCAAAGGTTTCCACAGTACATATAAAGTTCAGTAGGGTAGAGCTCCATAAGTAGAGTTCCCGTTCATATTCTTGGTAATCGACAAATCCTAATTCGATCTCCGATCCAGTTATCCCGTATACTTTTGAGAAATTAATTGGGATTATTCGTTTGAGAGCGAATAATTAAACTGTTGTATATAGAAAAAAAATATTATGCGTGTCCTAATTAAAAGTCAAAGATTTATAATATATAATGAAAAAAAAAAAAAAAAATTTAAATAAAAATAGAAAATGGGAAAAAAAACGCGGTACAATGGATGGAAATTTAACAAAGAACAAAAGAAACAAGAATAATACACATAATTGTTTCCTTTCCCTTTGAGTCGCGTTTTTGCAATATAATCATGTATGTAATTAAAACTATTTTTAGAAAATCTAAATAAAGTAAAATTTAAAAAAACTGAGCATATATTATTTAAATTATATATTGTATAATATATGTATTATTCTAATAATATTTAATACAATTACATATTTTTCAAACTGTGTCATTTTTTATTTTGTTTATTCTTCTCTTTGCCTATAGAGACTATTACTCTCTACTTAGCTTACATTTTTTTTTATGTTTTCTCATATGTTATATAGTGGTAATCATCCGTGATTAAAAAGCAATGATTAAAAAGCTTATAAATAATTCTAAAAAAAAAAACATTTAGTATCTGGAAACAGGTTTAGTACTTAAAAAAACGATTATTAAGCAGTAATATCGGTGGCATAGTGGTTTATTCGTGAGCAAAATGTAGTATAAATAATATAACGGTATATAATTCCATGTATAAGATGGGCGTAGGCTTGGCCATTACCATGCACTATAGATGCATCTTCTCTCCGAGAGAGCGACTGGAGTAGATCTATTCGCGAGAAGATCTAACGCGGCAAACTGGACCGACAAGACCCTCGTCTTTTTCTGTTGACCCTAACTGTAAGAGACTGTAATTGCAGCTGTCCATGCATGCAAGGGAAATAAGTTTCATCGCTTGTTTCTAATATCCATTTTTATTCCCTGTATACTTTTTATCATGAAAGCTATATTTTTGTTATGAAGATTTTAATAGTAACTTTTTTAATATATATAATAAGAAATGTAACATTTATTTTATAATAAATAATAGTACAATGATAATTTTTTTTAAATATTTAAATAAAAATTTGTGGTTATAATTATGACGAATATTATGCTAATAATATTTCTGATAAAATCTACTTTATTTTCTGTAATAACATCACAGTTTGTTAACTATAATATTCAATACAATCAATCAATTAAGAAATCAAAAAAGTTTTAAAAGCAGAATATATCAAAAATAAAAACGCTTGGGTTTAATATTTTCAAACATATGTATAACATAATAAAAATAAATCTTCTTTTTTTTGGTTTGCATATATAAAAACTCACCGTTGATTCGAATGAAAACTTATTGAAGTTTTTCAGATAATTATACTACTCATCAAAAAAATATTTATTAGATACCGATTCATTGCACGCTTCTTTTCATGAATGTTAATTATTATCAAATAATAAAAAACCATGTTAGAAAGAAAGACGATTGTTCTAGGTTGATTTTTGTTTATTAAATATTTATTAGAAGTAGCTAATTACTATTTATCATGACAGTTAAACTGTATTTTTCGCAATATTGTACTTAACAGGAAAAAAAAACCGGTTAATTATTTGAATTTTATATTCAAAGGCAGATAACAGTCCGCATCTGTAGGTCACACTGTATCCAACGGCAGGGCAACACCTCGTTCCACTTAATGACGATGCCGCTCCGACAACTTTTTAAGTCCGTCTAATTAATTCCCAACGGCAAAGTACGACATGTCGGTCATTCTCCTTCCGAATTCCACGCGGTCGTTCGATAACATTTATATTTCATCGTATGCGAGATTCATGTACGTTGTGTATATGTGCGAGTGATGTGACTTGACTTCCCTTTACTTCTATCATAAAAATATTCGGCAGATTTTAATTTATGTTGCGCAAATTTTTCATAATATTAGTCTCTTTCTAAAAAGATTTAGCATTTTTATAAAATACTCTCTTTATAATCCGATTTTTTATAAAAGAGCTGAATTTACAAAGAGTCTGTGATATATATAATCCTAACAAAATAATGTAATACCAATTAGTTAATATAATTATAAATATAAATCGAAGACACGGACATATATATAACTTATGATGCGTAACTTAGGCCACAGAGGGGATATAACTTTCGCTTGATAATATAGTGTAACACTGATATTACATTGCTCCGGCAAGATCAAGTGATTTATACAGTATACTTACAATTAGTATCCAAGTATTCAGCTTCCTTTGGTAAACAGGTTTCTCAACATAAATGCATAATGTTTAAATATTTGTGCATTTTAATAATCATGATTTAAAAAGTTTGTAAACTTGGATCGAGAGATCCTCTTCTTTTTCTTTTGCCTCGCGTATTTTGTTAATTTTGCAATTTACAAATATTTTATATAAAACTCAGAGAGCACAGAAATCTTCGATTCAATATCATATGTTTACGAATAACCAACAGTATTTCATCAGCCTAGTTTCTTAAGAATATAATGTACGTTAAACACAAAAGAAGATAGATTATCGCCATGACACGTTTACTGACAAATAGTTTTCTCACGAAAGAGAGAATCTCTTACGTAATATATGCAACCGCAATCTCGTCCTATGTGTTGTCCACAAAACTATCGTAGTACAAAATCACGCTCGCACGGATATTATAAGCATTATACGCGTTTTACGTTCCCTTTTGATCATCCGCTTTTCTCATAGAATTACAGGTTCTAATTTACGTAAGATCATAGAGACGGCGCACGATGGTAGATATCACGTACATAAATTAATCCTTTGTTACGTGCAGTGTAATTTCAAGGCAAAACGCTTCGCATCTCTGTTCTTTCTATGCCGTGAGAAGTGGCTCGAAGATGTAGGAAATATATAGATCATACATAGATTTTATATATTTGTTAACATTCTTTGTATAATCATACCATTTACTATTGTTTGCGAAATAAGTTCCTTAAGTAACAATGTACAGATATAAAATGATATCTCTTTATTACTTTCTCCGACATATAAGGTGAACCAATAAGAATTAGAATAGCATCTTCAAAACTAGAAGAATCAGACAAAAACTTCACGAACAAGTTATATATAATTTAAAAAAAATAAAATATTCCGGTTAAAACAATAGAAGCGATTTCACATCTTTAAAAAGACTCTACCTATAACAAAATTTTTATCATCATATAATGACCCCTTTTCTACCGTGCAATCTTCGTTCGAGAAATTTTTCTCTATCTCCTTTCAAAGATATTAAACGTATTAATTTTATTCTAATTGATTTATATTGTATAAAGAGACAAATGACTAATACGATTATTTGCTATTTAATTATAAAATTGCTTCATATTTGTTTCTTAAACAAAGATATTAAAAGATAAGTCACAGTGTGTTATTCTTCAACAAATGAAAACGTAAAATTATTTGTAACAATTTACTTGAGTGATTTCGTTTCTTCGCTACGATTAGTTTTGTTAGGCATCTATAATTATCATTTCTTTCGTTTTACTTCCCTGTTCCTGACGTTGCACAAGCATCCGGAAGCAGCGGCGTTCTTGCCGCTTGATACATGGTTACACGTGTATCCGTTCAACCCAGGTCAAGCGTGAATTTGACCCACTGGTACAACCGTCGTGTCTATCCTCAGAAATCACTATGGATTTTACTTTTAAATCGCGGATGAATAAATGTTCCGTTTCCCCAATTTCGAAATATGGCGTAATAACAAGTTAACCCGTACTTTTATATACAGCTATTCTACGTTAAGCGTCTCATACATTATTTTTGCGCTTCAGAAAAAAATGATTGATTATTTTATAGCGATCCATTGAATATTAATATATCATGGATTGCTATGTAATGTTCAGCTCTTTTTAAAACCAAACATAATATATACAGATGTCATAAATTTAGTAAACCATTTTTCGCTCTAAAAAAACTCTGTAAATAAAAAAAATATTTCTACATTAAAACCTATGAAGTATAAGATTCAAAGTTTAAACAGAATTTTGTTAATTAAATATAAACTAGGCATAAA